GCCATCAGTGTCCAGCATCCTTCTAGAACACCTGAGTGTGGGTCACCTCTTTGTGGAACACTCATCTGAACACATTTTCTCATATTGGTCCAACTTTTTTTTTTAAAGATTTATTTACTTATTTATACAAGCACTGGGGTACAGTCAGAAGTGCGGGAGGGTGAGAGGATTCACCAGAGCCAGAGCTGAGAGCAGAGCAGGCAGACTGACAAAGTATACTGCTGAGGGGAGCAGTGGGCACAGCAGGAGAGGTCTGCGTGCCATGTGGGACCCTCGCTGGTGGCCGGGGATCGAACCAGCACTGCGGAGGCTGCGGGCAGCTTCACAACCCAGCGTTCAACCGCTGCGCCACCAGGGAGGCCCTGGTCCAACTTTTTGAAGTCTGAATTGACCCCAATGGAATCAGAGCCACGGAATGTGGCTCTAGGATGGAGCAAAGGGATGCCCTGAGACTCCACTGACTAGAAATCAATTGGAGACCTTCTGACCAAAGGTTATTTTCTATATCATCAATACTTATCTGTCTGGGGTTCTTGTTGGATGGTTAGTCTGAGTTGTTTTAAGACCAGTCAAAGTTTAACTGCCAATCCTTCAAACATACAATCTATTTCTGGTAAGACTCAGTTAATATTGTCTGGCATTAACTTTCTAATTGAGTACAGTGACTGAAAATTAACTCTCACCCACTGAAAAACTAGATTATGGCAAAGAAGGAATATTTTAATAATAGAGAGGAGTTTCAGATTTGTTCTTCCCACCCCCTAAGCTAGATCAAAATGTTCTTATCATAGAGTAAGTTCACAGAGTTCTCCTCCCTTCTCACCTAAAGCAGTGTGTAGTCTTCCATGGCAGAACCATCCCAGGACTGATAAAAAGCTATCATTCCTGCTTTAGACTTTTTCCTACCCCAAAAAGATGTTGGGTTCACATCTTGACTAAATAAGATGACTGTGCTTTTATGATTCAATTTTGATTGATGAATATTCCCTCTCTAACCCAGTTCCAGGTGCTTTTAAAGGTAAAACCAAAGTATAATACAGTCTCTTTGCTCAGGGAATTTACAGCTATCCAAGACATAAATGTGAGAAACATGTGGATAATAATGTAGGGCAGGCTCTATAATCCAGTGCTTCACTGAATATTTGCCACTCTAAATTCTTTGCAAATCCAGTGCTGATGTATCAATAAGACTACCCTCCTCAAAACAAGTGCGTGAGAGGAATTTAATCTCAGAGGATGTTATAAAGAACATTTGGTACATGAGATACAAAAATTAGAAGTTCATCAGAGAGTGCTTACTATCTGCAAGGCTTTAAGCAAAGTCTTGTAGATGCCTGTGTATTTAACCCTCACAACAATGTCTTCAGCTACAGATAACACTGCCATCCATGATTTCTTCCAGATTGGGAAACTAAGGCTTAGACACTAACTCATTTGTATATTTGCTACACTGTTAGTTAGAAAGTAGAGTCAGAAATGAAACATAGAAAGTAATTCTAGACTCTAGCCTCTGTTTTCAACCAACAGATACTATGAGGAAAAGGTGGTTACAGAGCTAAATGGGACTTTTTACTACATGAATGTTCAGATTCTTTATTGTACATAGGTACATTATAAACTCTATGAAAGTGGCATTTTTGCACTTGAATTTTGCATTGAATCTCACAACCTTTTTTTTTTTTTTTTTTTTTTTGCCAAGGATTTCACTTACTAAAAAGAAAGTTCAGCATATCTTATGTATTCAAGAGAAACAGAAGGGACAAAAGGAGGAGGTTACATTTGGTCCTCTGTGGGCCAGTGATGCCATCGACCATAGTGACTGCCCGATGCCCAGCAGGGAGCTGATAGCCCTTCCCCACCCTGTGTAGCCATTGCAGGACCCTGTCAGGTACAGGCTGCTGTGTAGCCAGTCCTGTGCCCATTTGAAATGATTAATTGACCTTTGATTCTCCCTACTTCTAGAGTGTATTTATTTAAAATACCCAAACAAACATTCTTTGCGCTTCTTCTACAAGCCAGCTACTGAGCTAATTGCTGATCATATAAAGGGAATCTCAAGAGCCTGTTGCCTGCCCCCATGGAGCTTGCAGTAACAGGTTACAGTTTTTGAACCAATTCTCTATTCTCCCTGCCTTTAGATGTAAGATCCAGGGCAAATAATTTAACTGAGCTAAACCTCAGTTGTTGCTGTTGTTATTGTTTATAATTGAATTGATTTTATCACATTTCAGGGTTTGCGCTGGCTCAAAAATTCAAGTAGATGAACTGGCTCAACTTGAACCATATACAACCCCCACTCTTTCTACCCCGCCACCCCCCCCACCATGTCCCCTAGCAGCTGGTGAGCCTCCTCTGAGATTGGAGTCAGGGGGAGTGAGAGGTAAACACACCTGAGGGGGTGCTTTCAGGACACCCAAAAAGGAAGAGCTGGAAGTGTGTGCACAGCCTCAGGCCTCAAAGCAACAGCTCCAGATTTCAGGGCAGTGTGTGCTCATGCACTTTGGAGTTAAAAAAAACCTGGTTGAAACCCCTCCTCTGCTGCTTGCTGAGGTCTATTTATTTCCTCATCTGCGAGAGGGAAATAATCATAGGGCCTATCTTCAAGGGTTGTTCTGAGGACAGTCACCTAATCTGTGTGAAGTTCTTGACAGTCCCCTGAACACATTAAGTGCTAAGTAAATGTTGACTTCTACTCAGCTGCAGGTCTACTTCCCAAGGCTAGGGCAGAGAAAACACTTTCCTTCTTGAAACCAGCAGAGCATGTTAGCTGATATGTTGTACCTGGAATCTGTGGCTCCTAGAGGTGTGGATTTTTTTCACGCTTCTCTCCCTACCCTTTTTCTTTTTGTAAATTATATTTCTCTGGCACCAAAGGTCAACCTTTAGATGCCTCGTTGCATTTAGCCATCGAGCTATGCCTCTATCCTTGACTGGAGAGGATCACACTCCAAACAGATCTTCTGGATTTTAGAATCAGGTGACCTGGTCCAAATCCCAGCCCTGCCACTTTGCAGCTAAGTGGCCTGGAGTAAATGAATCCCTGCTTCGGAGTCTCTGTGTTATTCATCAGTGACTAAGAAGAGTGAAACTTACTTCACAGGTTGCTAGAGGTAACACATGTCAAGTCCCTGGTGTTGTCACTAAGAGGGTCACAGGACTTCCCTTCTAAAGGGAACACCCTCCTTTAGGGATTCTGTTCCCTTTGCTTGGACTTCTTCAGAGACTCCAGAGCCTCTCCCAGCCAGATAGTGGTGACTTTCTGGCCCTTCTTCAGCAGAGAAAATAACCCATAGCTGTACACAGGGCTGCCCCTTCTCCTCAGCTTTACCTCACGCCCACCCCCAAACCCGGCATCTGTTGCCCAGACAGTCAGCTGCCAAGATGTGGCCCTGTCACTCCCTGCTTTCATTTGATATGTTGCTACTTTCTTTTTGAAGGAAACTGTTATCAGGGCCAGGCCCTGGGGAGGCAGATCCTGCCTCTACCAACTGCCAGCCACATCCATCTCTCCTCCTGCCCTTGGGGTCCCAGGTAATCTCATTACAGAGTCTCTCACCAAACAGCTGCCACTCAGACCCTACAGAGACAAGGACAGAAAACTCCAGGCTTTCTGGGGTCCAGAGCCAGCCCTGAGCATGGCTGTGCAATTCTGCTAAAAGGCTGGTGATCACTTCTGCCTTTTCTTGATAAGGGTAAATTATTTTCTTTAAACAACAGCAAGGTGCTCCAGACCTTATAGTAAAAGGGGTGGTGTGTCATTCCCATTTAATGAGCTCTTCTAAGCACTGAAGAAGGATTTTACTCATGTAAACACCCTCCTATCCATGCAAGGGAGGCCTTGTAATGATTCCTATTTTACAGACAAGAAACCAAAGTTGCACCTATAAGAACTGGAATTTTCATCTACATTCTACATACAGAAAAACTGAAGCTTAGAGAGGTTAAATAACTTCCCATGGTCATACAGCTGGAAAAGGAGCAGAGTGGGAACTCAAAGTCTGTTTAACTTACAACATGTCTCCACTCAAGGATAGTGTAAATAACAAGTTTAAACAGTGTGTTCAAGAGGGGGAAAGTGGGCTTGTGATTCTGCACTTTGGCAGCCGTGGTCATCAGACAGGAAACCCCCGTGGTACCTCTGACCACTCCCTCTGTCTCTGGAGCTCTTACCTTGTTGTCAAGGAGATGAAATGGTAATAGGCGTGAAAAAGCATCTATGATAGTTGTAAGATTTGCTCACCTCAGAAACCATTTATCTCAGGAAACCTTTGGATAAGAATTTACATACTGCTAGCCTGCAAGCAGAACCTAACCTAGAAAAAGGTTTTTGTTTTGACTCCTGGTATTTTTTTTTTTTTAACTGCAGGAATATTGCCAATGTTTCGAAAATGCAGCAATTTCACTTGGAAAATGTAGCAATTTCATTTAAAACTCCAGATTTCTGAATTATCTTGAAATAGCAAAGGCTCTATCAGTCCTGGGCCTCACCCCATATGGCAACCACTGGTTGTCATTGGGCAGTGGCTGCTCTTTTTAGCAAGAAGGTGCATCCCTACGTGCTGCAGTCCACACCATTCCCTATTGCTCTGTAACAGGGAAAGCCAGCCTTACCATATTAGCGGGTTAAGAAGAAAATTAGCTTTCTTGTGCTTCATAAAGTATAAAAAAATTGAAAAGCAAGAAGGGAGGTGCTAAAATACAGTATTTCAGAGTGTTTATCGGCAGCAAAAAAATATAGCTAAAGAAACAAACCTAGCCCTCTTTACTTGTTCTTTTCCCCTCTTTCTGGTGATTTTAGCATTTGCATTTAATCCATTTTAGCCACTCTTTCATTTGATTCAGCATTTGATTCCGCTGTCCATAGAGAGCCAGCATCTATGCTAAGCCAGGCTGACTTAGTAGCTTGGTTCAGGACAGTGCTCCAACCTCATGCGTGTGCTCTGGAGCTTCCAAGAGATTTCCCCTCTCATGATTTCCCTTTCTCATGTTTGATTTTCTAGGTGTTCCCTTCCCAAAGAACTTCCTTCAGATCTGCAAGAAGATCCTGTGCCGTCTTTTCCGGGTCTTCGTCCACGTGTACATCCACCACTTCGACCGGGTCATTGTGATGGGCGCCGAGGCCCATGTCAACACCTGCTACAAGCACTTCTATTACTTCGTCACAGAGATGAACCTCATAGACCGCAAGGAGCTAGAGCCCTTGGTAAGTGTCACTGCACGACAGTGGTACCCAGGTCACTCCTCGGAATGGAGCCATTTGTCACAGCACCCTGCCAGACCCACACGAGGGTGCAGAACTCGACAGGACTTAGAGGTCAGTGAAAGTCAAGGAGAGGGGCCTGCCATCAAGTGAAGGTCTGAGATCTCTCTCTGAGATGGCAGAATGTTAGTGGGATTTTCATGACTTTAGTCAGAGGGAGTAGCTTTAATTTTCTTTTGTTTTTAAGATTAATTTTATTTATTTCTGCATACAAGAACTGGGGTACAGGCCAGAGGTGCAGAGGGTGAGAGGATTCACTAGAGACAGAGTGAGGAGCAGAACAGGTGGATCTACTGACATACATTGCTGTGGGGAGCAGTGGGCAAGACAGGAGAGGTCTGCTGTGCCATGTGGGTAGCTCCCTGGCCTGAGATCGAAATCAAGCCATTGCGGTCATGGTGCTGAGACTTAATTCCTATGTCACCATGGAGGTCCTAGCTTTAATTTTCAGCTCCAAAACATGTCATCCTTTTTTGTAATCTCTTAACTGGGCATCTCTAATCATCATCTTATCATCTCTTACACTGTTACTCAATAGTGATCAGAACCATTCCTTCAATAGTAAATAAATATTTAACGCCTGCTATGTGTCAGCTACTACATATAGGAAGTCAAATAAAACCGCTTTTGAGTACCTCTTACTCCAGACAGAGGCAGGAGTAAGCCCTAATGACAGCACAGAATCATAATATGGGGCTTAGCTTTTCCTACTCAATGTCCTATGACACAGTTTTAATGGGATACACTTAAATCCAGAAAATTTGATAACAGACTCTATGCCTGCTTAGGTAAGTGGGAATTACTTGATTTTCTTCATAAACTGTTTTTATAGTTGTACTCACTCTGGGCTTTAGAATGTCAAGGACCGGGCCTCCCCTGGTGGTGCAGGCAGTTGAGCGCTGGGCTGTGAAGCTGCCCGCAGCCTCTGCAGCGCCGGTTCAATCCCCAGCCACTGGCGAGGGTCCCACATGGCACTACAGACCTCTTCTGCTGCACCCGCTGCTCCCCTCAGCAGTGTATTTCTTTGTCAGTCTGCCTGTTCTGTTCCCCGTGCTGGCTCTGGTGAATTCTCTCACCCCCCGCGCTTCTGACTATACCCAGTGCTTGTGAAAATAAATAAATAAATCTTTAAAAAAAAAAAAAAAAAAAAGGGAAGAAAGAAAAAGCTTAGAATGTCAAGGACCACCAAAAACCCCATCTTTTGGGACATGTGCCCTCACATGGAGGCCTTCAGCACAGCTATTTTTAGCTGGTTCTATTGAGTGCTTTCTTATCCAGTACAATACAGTAATACAAAAACTGCTTTTTTTCCTTGAAACCAAGCGGTAGTCTTGCTAAATATACTGACAGAGCAGCTCCATTTCATATAAGACCATTTGAATAACGAACAGAATGCAGGGACCTGGCTGCTACCAGGGACCTCTTTGGCTGGCCTGTCTTTCTTTCTCTTTATGTACATGTTCTTTAAATATAGATATTAATATTCTTTGTGTCTGGTGAGGCCAACAGACCAAGAGGTGACTATTACTGAGAAGGTAGTTGTTTTATTCACAGATCCCAAGAAAAGAGGGGTGGATACCCTATCAAGGTAGGCGGGGGGTAAGGCACAAGGGAAATGAGCAGCCCTTTGGTCAGTCAGGAGGAAGATGGGACAGGAAAACGTGGTCAAGAGCCTTGATTGCAGTTTCCCTGGAGAGGTAAGTGAGAAGCGAGTAAACGGCTTTAACTTGGACTGATTTGAATAAATTTCGGCAGGTTCTGGGGCATAAGGCCTGACCCTAGTTGGTTGGTACCTGGTCCTGGGGTGATTAGGGTCAGGGAATAGTATCCCTCCTGATAGGGAGGTGGTTGGGGCTGGGGACTCTGGATCATCAGTTGTATTACCAACAGGTAAGTAAATAAACTCAAGGGTGAGTTGTTTAGTCTCTGGGGATTGGCTAGCACTGGGTGGGGCAGTCCCTCCATGATCAGTAAGGCCCCCAGATGTTAGAGAATTAAAATGCACACAGCGGCGTTGGCAGTATGCTAGTGAACACAGCTCTTCCAAAACACACACACAAACACACACACACACACACGATGTGCTTAATGTTGCACAGAAACTATATCTGGAAAAGAAGAGGTTGGTGAATTACCTTTCAAGTTTCTAAACTTGAAAGCTATTATTTTACTATGCGAAGACATAACAAAAAATGGTTTTCTTTGCATCACTCAAGAGTTCTGGATAAAGCAAGAACCCCACCCCATGTTTCTCTTCCACGTGCTTCCATCACACATGGCCACACTCCTCTGCTCCCAGAGTCCACTCTGTTGTTTTTGCCTGATGTTGGCTGTTTGTCCAGCACACCAATAGTGCTGAGGGCCTAGTGCCCCACAGGGAAGCAGTTGCAATACAGCACTGGCTAAAAAAGAGCTAATTTTCTTCATTTTTTCCTTTCACAACAATGCTCTAAGAAACTCGTGGGGGCAGGAACTGAGTTGTCTCTGAATTCAGTTAGATAGCTGGTGTGAAAAGAAGTGTAAGGACATCGTGGCTGAGTTTTGCTAGTTTGTCCTGTTTCAAGACTGCTGTAGATAAGCAGCTACTACAAGAAGCAAAGATTGTGCATATAGCACAATCTTTGAAAAGACAAGTAGATAAAGCTCATTTCAGAAAGTGCTGATAGGGCCAAGTGAGTGAAAAAGGGAACCCCTATGATCTGTGGAAAATATGGGTGTCGCTTCCAGGGACTTTAATTCCATTCTCTTCAGTTGACACATTTTCATAGGAGGGAAATACCTTCCCCCATGGTCCACCAGAAAGAAGGGGTACTCCTCAGCACTTGGGTTTGGGTTTCCCTGAGCTAAAGGAACAGAAACATCAGATGGATAGAGCTGAGAAGTCAGTCTTCTTTACATACAGAAGCACAAAGGCCATTGTAGGACAAAGCTGAGTGCAAGTTAGCAAGTAAAGAAAGCCTTTCTTAGTCATCAAAAACCTCTCAGTTATTTTCTATAACTGAAGAAGGGCCCCAGGGATTCTAACCCCAGGCAGTGCCAGGAGCTGCCTTGAAGTCTCAGAGGCACAGAAAGGCCCCTAACAACCCAGTGTTCTAGGTATAAACATCTTTAGGGTCTGAGGAAAAACTGCCATTGGATTAAATCATCAGAATTATTGACAGTGGAAGTTAAGTAAACAGCAAGAAGAGTATCCATTTCCCCCCAAACTTACATTTCTTTAAATCTTGCTTGAAGCAGTATCTTTCCTACATTTATATTTTGTTAATTAGAATTATAGATTGATTTTAATACTTTTACTTATTAATGGTCTTTTAGTGCTTGTTTTAAATTATAAAAAAATACTGGGAATTTTCCTTGGATAATGCTTGTATTATTATCTGTATATTAGCATAGTTCAGTGTCCAAAATTGCTATGCTTGTGGATTGTTACTGAAATCAGTGCTTGCAATAGTAGATAGTGCTAGGTACCCAACTTCTAAGTCTACTGTTATAATAAATATATCAAAACCAGACATAGCATATCAAATCAACATATTTTTATTTGATTTGCATAAATCAAATGTCTTATATATGCAAAGCAAGTTCCTCACATGGTCTCCATGCATAAGAAAGATATGCTTTCAAGAATTTACAAATATAGTCTGAAATATATAAAATAATGACTGTCACTCGTCTCTGGCTTTTGAAGAATAACAAAAAATTCAGGCCTTTGGCTTTACATGCTTGTGGGACATTCTTTAGAATTGCTGCAGCTAAGGACCAGTTTCCTTTAGAACATCAGCACCCCCAGAGTTCCCACACCTTCAGTGGGACATTCCTGGTGTCAGGCCTGGGGATTCCACATTGTAAAGTGAGCCCCACTTCCTGTTCCTCTCCTAATGCTTTTGCTATGCACTGCCATGCTCCCTTCCTCCTAAAGCCCACCTATTGCTTTGTCTGATACTGACTGATTGTCCAGCACATTGGTCATGTTGAGGGCCCACTACCCCACAGGGGAGGAGACTTAGTCTTGGACAAGGCTAAAGGCAAGTCTCAGACTCACTTAGGCTTAAACCTTGGCCCCTTCATTTGCTAACTTGGAGTAGTGAACAAGATGCTTAGCTTTCCAAAGCCTCATTTTCTTCATTGATAAAATGAGTAAGTCATAGAATTGAATTGTTGTACAGTTCTTTGAATTAGTCACCTGGTAATTGATTAAGCAAGGTTAATATTAAATGAGATGATGCCGAAAGTAGCTGGCACATAGTAAGCAGAGGTCCCCTTGTTCTCCCTGCCCCAGTCTTATGACCTTTTGCCATCTTCATGATACCCCAGGTAGTCCTGTAGTCTTCATTATATTTGTGTCTGTCTCCCACAGGGTTATCAACTCTTTGAGGGCTGAGAATATACAAGACATACGCCTACATTGTCCATGTTGCCAAGTATACAGCAAATGCTTAATGTGTTCTTGAATCAGGAAGAATACTTTGAGGACAGTACACTCCGTTCGAAGGGGTTGCACAAATAGCTGTTCCTTTCAGACTTCCACTTGTCTGTTGCTGGGAATCATACTTCATCCTATTGGATGAATAGTAGAGATTCAAAGCAAAACATGGTGCAGAGCACGTAAAAGGATATGTCATAACTCTTCAGTCTGAAAGAAAATGATGGGACCCCAATCCCCAGTCAGTTCTGTCTTCCAGATTCTGGTTACATTGCCTGGGCAATGCTGAGTGTTCTCACACTGCTTGTGTGTCCTGGTGTGCCTGGTGTGGAAGGGGACCAGCCTTTCCAGAATTAGTGCTAAAAATCCCATGTCTCTGTCCCCAGTAAACTGGGATAGTTGGTCACTGTATAAAGCCTCTAATTGGAATATAGTTTCCAAATAAGAAGCTGGGAAGAGGTCACCTTGGACCCTGAAGCAGGCCAGTATGTCCATCCATGCTTGCCTCATGACTCTCGTT